CTAGACTGAAGTATATCAAATGAAGCGCTGGGGTGACACAGATTATAAAGTACACGTCGATATTCATGCTTTCTCTTTCCTCTTAGCTAACACTGCACCCTCTAGGTCTCCTGCATCTATGTAGCTGATTACCACAGCATTGAATTCAAAGGAAATGTGGGTAGAGGTGCTGGACATGACTGCCACTTCTAATTTATTTAAAAATGTCTTTCAATGTCTCCCATACTCTTATAATTTGCAGATGTCTGGATGAAAGTGGTCACTGGGCTCTGTTTGTGGCCATGGGGCTCTGTTGAAAGCTAAATGTGAAAGGCAGAAAAATGTCCTTCAGTTTGGGACTTGGAATAATCATCATTCACCTACTATTATTTCCTTTTTAAAGACTGATCTTAATTTTAGTCTCTCTTCCCGTGTGTGTGTGTGTTACATGTACATGTGTTCTTGGAAAGAGCAGAAGAGAGTGTTGAATCCCTTCAAGTTGAAGTTATAGGCGTTTGTGGGTTATAACCATTTAATGTGGGTGCTAGGAACCAAATTCAGGATTGTAGAAGAAGACAGCAGCAAGTACTCTCACTTGCTGAACCAAATTGCCTGTCCTGTTTACCTATTTATAATGGTGCCATAACACAAACAAGAAATAACCTGAACATTTTGGATTGATTTATAATCAGATTATCATAACTAACACAAGCAATGAAAACTGAGCTTGAAACAATCCAGAAAGATGAGATTAAAACCTGAACCAAGGAGGAACAGTGGAGACAGAACGAAAGATTAATTATGTATTATCAGTGTATTATTAATTATGTATCATTGTGATTAAGTTGAGACATGAAGAGTTTGTGCCTCTATCTGTGCCATCATCTTTCCACTGTAGTTAATACCTTGATGTAACTCACTTTGGGGGTCCATGACTGAAGCTGTATAATGGGCTCAATGCTTTTTGGCACAGCACGTTGCCATCAATTGAACATGCTTTCTATTTCTATCTTCCACTTATAAATTGATGTCCTTTCCCACTTACTCAAACATTTATTACACACTGACCATAATAAGTTCCAATAAAGTATGTAAGTTCAAGCTGACAAAGATTTTCTTCCAAGCTTATTTGTTCAAAACAAGACAGTCATTCCTGTGTACCTCATGAAGTCTTTCTTTTTTAGAGTCTGTCAGTTACCTAAACAGGAAGCACTGGTTGCACAGAATGCCACGTTTCCATACAGATTGGAGCAATACAGTTGGGACAGTAAAGGTTTCTACTGCATTACAACTTAGAGTCCTGGTTACAGACTCTAGCTAAGGAAGATTGAATTCATGATTTTTTCCCTATTTAAATTCTGCGTCAGTTTTCAACCAATTGTCTTTCTGTTACTAAAACATCTATAGTCACTTTCCTGTCATTTATGTTTTTGATTGGGAATTCACATACTTTCTTTAAAAAAACACCAAAATTTAACAAACAAACAAACAAACAAACAAGAAAGTATTAATTTTTGAATCCTTGAAAAACACACAAGGGGGAGGTGTGCTTGACCACATTTGCAAACTTCTTTATATCATTTCAATCTCTTCTAAGTCAAATGATCATGTTTTAAATCAGCTGAATTTGATATTTTATTGATGTCTTTCCCATAAAAGATGAGTAAAGACTTCAAATAAAGCATTTTCCCTGCAGAGCCATGATATTCCAGAGATCTTTGTTGAAATAAAGTTTGCAACATGATGAATGTGCCATTGTGTCTGCCCTGATAAGAATCAGGTGGGAATATTCCTATGACTTCTTGTGGTGATTGTTTTTTTTCAACTTGACATAAGCCAGAGATATTTGGGGAGAGGAAACCTCAACAGAGAATTGCCTCTATTATTGGCCTTCAGGCAAGTCTGTGGGAGCATTTTCTTAATTAATAACTGATATGGGAAGACCTAGTTCACTGTGGGCAGTACCATCCCTGAGCAAGTCCTTCAAGGTTGGATAGGAAAGCACACAAACACACACACACAAAGTTATTTTTAATTAAGTGAATTTCTTGCTGTAATCATTAAAATTGATGATCATTATATTATAGTGCAGGATCCTGCTCTCCTGAGCAGCTCTGTGCTTAAGCTCCTGCTCCAAGTTCCTACCCAACTCCTTTTCATGATAGACTATTTATTGTCAGGGTGTATAAGCCAAATACACCTTTCTTCTTTTGGTCATAGGATTTATCACACCAATAAAAATGTAAACCATAACACTTGTAGCATTTTGAGAATGGGGGGGGGATCTTCCAAAACTACCTGAAAATATAACTACATCTACAGAAAAAGACTCGTATCTAGATTTCTTCTCTCTACTCCCAAGTGACCGATAGCTACCTTCTCTAACTAACAGAGAGGAGATACTCTCATATACACATGAACTAGATCATAACTTAAATACATTGATTAGCTAAAACCTATGACAATAATTTTATTTAAAATGTTATTCTTGTTATATATACACACACATTAAGTTTTTTTAATTAACTGAATTTCTTGCTATAATCTTTAAAATTTATGATACATTATGTTATAGCGCAGGATGCTGCTCTCCTGTTTGGCACATAGCTTAGCATAAGGGAAAACATGTCAAGAGTGATCTTTCCCATGCTGCAAACTACTGTGGAACATGGCTGCCCTCCAAATTATTTAAGGGAAAAAATCTTAATGAACTAACACTGGAGGAGAGCTGTTTCCATGGCAATTCAGCTATCAGAAAACACAGAGTCGATACTCGTTCTCTTGCTCGTTTAGGCAGTTCTATTTTTAACTTCTTGGAACTGGCAGTTGGGATCAACAGGAACTTGTTTTCCATGCAAGTATTTACTTTTCAAAACAACAAGAAATAAATTATGGTTCAGTTATCGTTTCTTGAAAACATGAACACTAATCCCTTAGAAGAAAAGAGGAAAGAGGAGAGGAAAGGGTGTTTATGACAAACTAGAGGCAAGAGGGTGATGAAGACTAAAGAAGATACAACACGCTTATCCCTAGGGAAGGAGGGTGCTGGTGGGGTGAGGTGGGGGTGCATGGGAGAGCACCCTCTTAGAGGCAAAGGGAATGTGGGATGAGGTAAAGAACTCAGGGAGGGGGACTGAGAAGAGGGTTCAACATTTTGAATGCAATAAATAATTTAATAAAAAATAAACATACTGACTGCCTAGTATTTGGGGAACATTAAGATTCACAGGAAGGTTAGCTGAGATCTCAAGGAGTTTGGAGCCTGACATATGGCACCAAATAAAGAGAAAATTCCCACTCAGTTTTGTAAAAAAATCTCTGAGGTTTTCACACTTAGTATCTGGGGAGCATTGCAGAATAAGTTTAATCCTCTTTGCAGTAGAGTATTGCCAGGCAGATGAAGATTACACAGGATTAAAGGGATGAGTTAAAGCTGGAAACAGCAATGCAGATGGAAAGGGGATCTGTACGGATCTGGAGTTGTGGGTTGATAAGAGAAGCAGAGAGGTTTATATGGGCAGCTCCAAACTTGGTTACTATTCTATTGAGTGTGAACAAGTCCAGAGACTGGACTCCATGGTTTTTGATTGGCTCCCATGAATTTTTATAAAGGTTTTCATGCTACCTTTCTCATTAAGAGTAATATGAGAAATGACCATGAGGATTATAGCTACCTTTTATTTTGGAAGATTGTGTGTGTGTGTGTGTGTGTGTGTGTGTGTGTGCATTTGTGTGTGTGTTTGTGTTCCTGTGAACATGTGGAGACCAGAGGGGAACTTGTGGGAAAAGTTCTTGCTTACTATGTGGGTTCTGGCAACTGAACTCAGTTCATCAGGCTTGGCAGCAAGCACCTACCATCAACTCTTCTAAAATCGGACTCACATGATTTACAGGTTTTGTATGAGTCTACTGTAGTTAAATATATGATGAATTACTTGTCTTGTCTCTCAGAAGATGTTTGCCTTCGAGGTACAAAATGCAACCATGCCACTAGGAAGTTACACACTGTGTCACATATCTCCTTCAGTGTTGCTTATAAATCCTGACTATACTTCAATTAAGAATATTCTGATATCCAATTAAAGGCATTCTTAGGACCAACTGGCTATCCTCAAAACTGGCTTCTAAACTATTCATTAATTCCCTAACCACTATATAAGAGACATAGGCAGGTCCAACCATACAATTAAACTTGGAGCAAAACACAATAATTAAAGTTTCAAAGTCAGCATTAAGCCAGGTCTCCATTGTTGGGCAAACTGTGCTTTTAACCATTTTCCTTTCTGCTTACTTGAGAAGTAAGGACTGCATTCTGAGTGAGTGCTAACTGAAACCATAGAGAAAGGCAAAGAACCTGGAGGTCCCTGTCAGCTATTAGACTTAGCTGCTTATGAGCAGCCTTTCTGTACAAGAGACACATCTGTGGATGCTGTGTTCCTAGAAACAGCCAAGGAACTCACTTTAGGCTGTCCTCTCATCAACTGCTTGGTTCACTCTGGAGAACGTAGGTTAAGTCAGAGTCACACCAACATACACACCAACTCACAACAGTGAGCCATTTAACTGCTTACAAGACACTTTCACGTTCATCTCTAGTTTTCCTGGGTGAACCACACATTCTGCATCTTGCTCCTACACTTCATCAGACTAACTAGAAGAGGATAGATACGGCTGAATTCAAACAACAGATTTCCTTCTTTCCTTTAGAAGTGAGCTGCTTGAAACACTCACTGCAAACACAAACTGAATTTTCTTCACCTATGACCCTAAAAAGCTAAACAAAGTATTACAAATAAGAGGCACACAACTGAATATGAATTGTGCTGTCTGGGTTTTTGCCAGATTTCTATAAGCTAGAGGCATCTGAGAGGATAGAATCTTAATTGGGAAAATCCTTCCATTACAGTAGTCACTTGGCATCTCTGTATGGCATTTTCTTGATTAATAATTAACATAGAAGGTCCCAGCTCACTGTGAGCAGTGTCACCCTGGGCAATCAATCCTGGGTTGTATAAGAAAGCAAATGAGCAAGACATGGAGCACAAGCTGGTAAGGAGTATTCCATTCCTCCATGGCCTTTGCTCCAATTCCTGCTTCTCGATTCCTGCCTTGATGTCCTTTTGTGATAGACTGTAAGTTATAGATGAAATACCCCCATCACCTCTCCAAGTTGGTTTTGGTACCGTCTTCTCAAATTAGAAACAGTCACTCCACAGCCGGTTATACCATAGAATAAAATTGGCCAGAGGAAAAACCTGAACTTCTTTTTTTTTAAGATTTATTTATTTATTTATTTATTTATTTATTTATTTATTTATTATATGTAAGTACACTGTAGCTGTCTTCAGACACCCATATGAGGGCATCAGATCTCATTGTAGATGGTTGTAAGCCACCATGTGGTTGCTGGGATTTGAACTCGTGACCTCTAGAAGAGCAGTCAGTGCTCCTAACCACTGAGCCATCTCACCAGCCCAAACTTGAACTTCAATGTAATTATTTTAAAATTCTTGTAAGCATCAAATAAATATTACATAATGTACATGGGCAATGACAGGGGAAACATAAATAAGTTTGGTTCAGGAATATAAATATACATGCCAAAGATCTTTAGCTTGGTTAAGATGCCTACTTCTGTCACTATCTACCTTTGCTTAACTTGAACTACAATACTGAATGTCAGGTGTAACTATTATGTAAGATGTAAAAGGTGAAGATAGAAAACAAAACAAAACAAAACAAAACAAAACAAGACCTGGAACACTATGGATAATAAATCCTTTCAATTGGAGATGTCTTCCTTAATGACCTTGCCAACTATTTCACACAGCTCTCCTGCCTGTTCACACAAATATTGATCAGATCTTGGGTGTAAGCCTTCCAGCGGTGTGGGTCATAAAACATTTGGTTCCACATGCATAAATTATACTGTATTTTTCAGAATGCTGAAATTTTCAGAAAATGAAAGCCACACCTGAGATAAAGATTGTACAAAGATTCTGATTTGCTGACTGTTGTGCTATGGTTGTGGCGAGCTGGTGTTCTGAAACCTATAACCAATTTTTCTTGGGCTACGATTAGTAGCTTTGTGTCCTACAGAACACCATTATATTTACAATTGGAACCTCTTAGAATGGCTTAACATAGCTTCCACCAGCTCCAAAGCGAAGCACGTCAACCAGGAATAAGTAAAACCTGCAACAGAGCTTTCCATACTTTTGGGTAAACATACCAATATTATGTTCCCACCAATGTATTTGTAAAATGTCTTCTCATAGCTTTCTTCGTTCTATAACTATTAAAACTTCATGAAGGCACTTACACTTTAGAATATTTTATTTAGGGGCCAACTTCATCCACATTGCTGAGATAGGACCACATGTAGCTGGCAATTAACAATCCCTCATTCCCTTTGGTGGGAGAGATCTATTTGAACTAACAAGGCACACACATTTTTGTGATATCGTTTAAAAGCTGCTGCTTTGACAACATTTAACTACTCAACACATGATTACTTACCAAAGTAATCAAGCTAAAAGCTCGTCAGGCTGAGCTTTATCACTCTCGATTATGACTCTCGAGTCACCCTTCACTCCTCCCTGCTCTTACATTTAAAATTCTAAATTAGTTCCAACAAATGAATAGGCTCCCATCAAAACACTGAGATACTGATGGAATACAAAAAGATTCTAGTTAAATTGGGTTAAATGCAATAATACTTACTCTAACCATTGTCCTAGTTCTATTTCTGTTGCTATGGTAAACCATCATGACAAAAAGCAACGTAGGGGAGGATGGATTTATTTGGCTCAGCTCCAGGTCATAGTCGATTATTGCAGGGTAGTAAAGGCAAGAACACTTGCATCACATAATCAGTGCAGAGAAGAGGAATAAACAAAGAATATTTCTCCGCTTTCTGGCTGCTTCTTCGCCTCCTTTCCCTTTATACAGTCACAAGCAACAGAGAGACGTGCTCTGACGATCTAACAAGAAAGGTTCTGCCGAATCAGCCACTTGTTAACTCAAGAAGAAATTATATGAAGCCTCTGCTCTTTTTCCTGAAATCATGCAGTCTAGATTTTAAAAAGACATTAAGCGTTTTAAGTTATATTTATTTGTTTGTGTGTGAAGTGTATGCATTACAGGATAGTTTAATATTCTGTTCATTTATCACAATAATAGTAATAGGGTCTCCACTAGGACTTATGACCTATTTAGCCATAGGGTCTTGGTCCAATAATGGTGCCATATAAGTTTCTTTTTTCTCATGAAGCAGGGCTTAAGTCTGATTCCACAGTTTGTATTTTGACCTAAGGAAACAACCAACAGGAATTGGAATTGAATCCAGAGCGAATGAAGATCTCTGACACATGAATACATTGTGATGGGCTGAGTGTTTCTGTTTCTCCCAAATCCGTCTGTTGAAATCTTACCATCATGGAAGTAGAGTCTTTGGAGAGGTGATTGGGCAGAGGCGTAATGAATCGGATGTGTGCTCTTATAGAAGAGGTCTCAAAACTCAATCTTGCCTCTCCAGCCAATATAGGTTCTTGTCACACACTGAAGCCATCAACATCTTGATTTTGGACTTCTCTGCCACCAGAGCTGTGAGAAATGAATTTATAGCCACATAGTTTGTGATGTTGGTTGTAGTTTTTCCCCAAAGGAATTAGTAAGAAGAATTAGTAATTAGTAATTAGTTTCTTGTGTGTGCATGTTGTGTATCAACATTCATATCAAATCCTATACAAATTTCGATTTTATTTTAAGTTTTCTTTTAAATGTTTCAAAGCATAACAGAGTAAGAATGCCTTATAAGGAGTTGCAAAGCAACTCCAGAGACGTTAGAGCAGGACTCCGAAATGCCCCAGAACATGAGTCTGGCTCCCAACCCAGAACCTGCAGATACTCATCAACATTCTTGGTTGGAAGGATGAGAAAAACACGCCTCCTTTCCTCCTTACTTTCCTTGTCAGCTCTGACCAACCTGTGGCTTCTCTAATTATTAAATAGATGGAACAGTTGGGCAGCTTATCCAGGGAAGTGTGGGCTCTTCCTACACAGGGCTGGGGTTGTCTGAAACCATCATCTCCTGGTATTTTAGCACAAAGGGCAGTATTCATTTCCAGTCTCCAGCAACACATTCACAAGTTGGCCCCATAATTAACTAAATAGGCCCCTTCATTTAGGAGTGCCCAAGTCCTGGAGTCCGTCCTGTCAGACTCATCTCTTCTAGCCTATTTACTGGGAAAGAAGAGCCGTTTACAAAGGCAAACTTATCTTTGACATGAATCAACACACTAACATGAGTTTCCAATTAGCATTAATAGCCCATGTTCTAGTTTCTCATCTGTCCCCACTCTGAGACTCTCCAGGTCTATACTGTTTCATTTGTATCCCTTTTGGGCACTCTACTACCTGCTACCCTGAAATATACAGCTGCTAAGGAAATATTTTCCCTGGATCCCAGATCCTCAAGCCAAGAGACATGGTGAGTTAGCCCTGGGGCTCTGCAGGAAAATATCTTAATAAAGTACAGTGATATGGTGAGAATTTGCCTATGTCAGAATGCCTCCTTCCCCTGAGGGCTTTGCTATGTTGGGGAGAATGGGTCAGAGTGACATGGCTCTTAATATCAGAACATTTCCTCACATCCTAATGCCTTTAATGATATCAGTTCATTGATATCGGTAGTGACTCAGTGAAATTAATTTATTAAACATGTATTGATGTCTACAGTCAGTAAGATCAATGTCTATATAGTAATGAAAACAAACAAACAAACAAACAAACAAACAAACAAACAAACTGATCCTGTTGATGCTTACCAAGAAAGCAGGCTCAGTCATAAAGAACAGATACCTCACAGTACAGAAGATGCTTTCAGGTAGATTTTCTCTCTCTCTCTCTCTCTCTCTCTCTCTCTCTCTCTCTCTCTCTCTTTCTCTCTCTCTCTCTCAATCTTATAAACTACCAAATTCCCCTTTGTATATTTACCAGGACTTTATAGAAAAGTCTTTATAGAAACCTCAAAGTCAGAAAATCTTGGATGACATAAAACCTCTGACTACTAGTAAGAAACAAAGGCATTATTGTTGAAATGGAGCTGAAATGTTCTGTAGCTCAGATTCACCTGGAGGGTGAGGTGAGTGATGGCCCTTGGGGAGATCTTAGCATGCTCACTGAGAAAGCCAGGAAGGACTCTCCATCGCATCAGGATTTTAGTGGTTCAGCCCACTACTAGTGTGCTTACTTGGCTGGGATTCAAGTCTGAACTGACCAGAAGCCTAAGTATGCCTACATCTCGATATTTATATAAGCCAGCCAGCTGTTTAACAGTTTCTCCAAAACAAAACAAAATGAAACGAAAACAAAAACAACACAAACAAAAAAAAATCCTAAACACTAAAACAGAGCATATTTCCCTAAGGAAGTTGAAAATATAATAGACACTCATTGATCTACCAGCCACAGAAGCTTTCTATTTAATCCTCAGAGAAACGCTGTAAATGGGAGAAGAAGCCATACTAAGGGTAGGACGCATTACAAATCCAACTCCCTTAGTTAATAGGAATAATTGGCTATTTACAGGGAGAGAATTAAGAGAGTAAGCTACGGAGGATTATGAAAGCCAGTACCACTATATCTGTGGCAATTTCTAAGCCCGTATTTTTCCTTGCTGAAGCAGTAGCTTAGATTTTTTTATGCACTGTCAGGAGTAGGTGGCATGAACAGCTTTCTCTTATTTAACCTTGGTATATCATACACCTCACTAACAGCTGCAGAGGATGGGGGAGGGGGGGATAGAGTAGAGTGTGCTTGAGACCTTTTCAAAATAGTAGAGGAGGAGGTTAGAATGGCATTGGAGAGGACCATAGCGAGGACTTGGGCTTTCAACTTGATGAGACAGGATGATGTCAATGAATTTTGAATGGAAGAGTCACATGATCTTACTTTGGCTCACCAGGCCTATCATGTTTAAGAATAGTCTTTTTGGTTGGGAGGGCATGGTAACAAAACCCCTACATTCTCAACCCTAGTAGCTCAAG